TTTAACATTTTTTTAATGCTTTTCGGGTAAAAACTTTTGTGTAAATAATAAGGAAAACTAACAAAAAAATATACATAACTCCAAGTATCCCCAGGCATTCAAATGACAAGAATAACGAAAATTTTCCTACAAATAATAAACAGTTAGATACATATGTATGTGTGGAAACAGGCTAAATCAGTTTTATTTTTAAGATAATGGCACCGGTTTTTTAGGCCCGAATGTGTCATACATTTTTTTTATTCTTTAACGCGCAGTGGAAATGCGGCATGTAAATATGCCGATTCATTTCTAAGAAAACTATTTATCAAGGTGTTGCTAATATTGCTGCATATATTTCGGGCCTAAATCACATGTAAACCACTTCTAGTTACAAAAGGGTGCTGTCTAGTTTACAACCGAAAAATATGAAAAGATACTTTTGTTTGCCTCACAAAGCCAAACATTTTCCCGAAGAAGCTTTCGTGTTAACGAGGTTTCATCTTATATGTACAGTTGTGTTCATAAAAAAAAATTGCGCAAGAGCTGAAAGTCAAAAAAAAATATTTTTTGTTGTTCTCTGTTTTTCAAAATTTCATAGATCAGGATAGAAGAAACAGAGAAATTAAAATAATTCGGAATGTAAGGAGAGATATTAAAAACAATAAAAATGATTATAATACAAAGCGATTTCAAATGTTTTTGTAAAGTGAAATTTCTAAAAGCATCATATTTTTTTATAGATAATTTTTTGAATTACGCTCTTCCTGAATTAAAAAGTAGTAAGTAATTTGGCTAAGAACTTAAATCAAATTTTGCTATAGAACTCTAAATATTAATTCGGCACACTACTTTTATGAAACCAGAGTTATTCGCTGTTGGAAAAAATGCTTCATTCCTAACAGGTCGGTGCCTTCTACAGCGACAGACCACTTGGGGCGCTTAGCGTGTTTTAACCATCGGTAACATCAAAAGTAATACAAATGCTTGAAACATAATATATACATATGTATATAGTAATCTGTGCCAATTGAATTAGTCTGATCTTCGCCCAAAAGATATAGAAAACTGCCCAAATACATACACTTTCAAAAAAGGTAAATGGGATGGGCTGAGCATTATGGTATGGTTGGTTTTTTTTTTATTGGTTCTTTACATGCTATCAATTTTATAATGGACGAAGATATTTATTTTATACAAGGTCAGCATCGATGACAGTTAAGTCTAAGGAGGATTTTTACATGGGAATCTCATTTTTGTGAAAACTACAAATATCCATGAATCTAGATCATACTACATATATCTCGATATATCTGTTTTATGGTGTCTCTACTTCGTAAAAATATGCATTTTTATTGCTCGTATTTTGAACAAAACACAAACGCGAGAATAACAAAAAAGCATAGTACAACAATTACTGGTATTGTCTTCCAAGAGAGCGCATATTGCGTTCTGCCTTATTTGAAAAACATCATTGTTGCCCACATTAAAAGGTTTATGGCTAGGGAAAAGGGATATTTCCATACCCCACATACCATACCAAACACTAATTTTTTTTAAAGAAACCTTCATGCAGAGAACTCATTTAATTGCAAAAGCCGAAAAATAATAATAATAATTTGCTTAGTAAATAAACTCAAAATTTGTTTACATAGTTCACTTTATTTCAAAACGTGTTTTCTTCTGTTTTGAAAAATTATAAAAGTAAAAAAAAAAAAAAAAAAAGCGAAAACCAAGAGCAAAGCCAACTGAAAGTACTAGAATCAAAAATAAATAAAAGAGCACGAATTTTGATGTGAAGCAAAACTCTCTGGGAAGACAATAACTGTAATAATTGTACCATGACAAAAAAGTATCTTACATATGAACCTTAAATAACATCGTAAATGTTTAAAAACTATTTTTCCCCTAAAATGTATGCCACGAAGACTTCAGTTTCTAGATTTACAAATAGACTGATGCTCCCATTGCTCTATTATTATTTTTTGAACACAGCTGTACACATTCATGTAGAAGTTTTATGGTTTTCATTTTTAAAGTATAGTAAATACAGTTATTTGCTAAAAATGCTCAGCTTTGTTTAGTAACTTATTTTTATTCATTTTTAAGTAATTACACTGTTCGGCAGTCGGCTGTGAAATTGATGAAACCAAGTTTTCCTTAAAGTATGGATTATATATAGAAAAGTAATTTCTCAGTTTCGCAGGTTAGTTAGAAAAAATGCTGAGAAACATTGCACCTCATGCATAAAAAGTGAGCTTAAGCTCAGACTCAACTTTTGCATTGATAGAATGAGCTTAAGCTCAAGAATTTGTACTGAAAATCGAGTCGGAGCTTTTCCTATAGGTTTCTTCGAAGTTCTTTTTTCATCAAAGCACACCCTAGAGGCTATTTTTGGTAAAAATAAAGTGAAAGTTCAGAATCCTCGGACCTATTTGGGAGATAGACCTTTTGAGTGTGTAAATATGTAATTGCATTTAAATTGAATCGAATACTGCTGCTCTGCGACCAGCAACTTCAAACTGAAAAAAAAAACGCTTTAAAACGTCATCCCGGGAGAAATTACTTCTCCTGACTTTCAGGAAAACTTGGTTTCATCACTCTCCAGAAAAAAGAAACTGATGTAAAGTATTATAAGCCGCTAATGACAGCCGAAAAGTACATTGGGCGGTTTTTGGTGCAAATTATTTGAAACTGAATATCACTAGCTTAGAGTGAAAAGTTATTAAATCCATTTTTATTTTTTTTATAAGTTAATAATAGTCCTAAATCACTTTCTTTAAGCACTTATTTTGCAAAGAGTTGTCACAGGTGAAAAATTCTAAACTGATAGTCTATCAAAATTTAATTAATTACATAAATCACAATCGATCGGATGAAACCACGACAAACGATTTTTTCTTCTTGAGACTTTTCAAGTTACATAGCTCTGACTATTTTGGACTTAGCGGACTTTCGTAACATTGAATAAAAATTGCTTGAAATAAAACAGGTAGCTTTTTTATTTTGCAAACCATGCTTTTTTAATGATTTTCGCTTCCTACCCAAAAATTTAATTGTCCTAAAAAAGCGAACTTTACAACTTTTGCGCTCTAAGCTAGCGAAATGAAATGTTTGTTAAAACTTTGTATTAAAGCGTTCTTCTGAGTCATGTTTTATCTAATTGCATATTTTTTGAAATAGAAAAAATAAATAACCATCTCCATGCAATGTTGACGTTTTAATGTCAACTTTGAGGAAATATTAAACTTTGGAAAACAAACAAATGCGGAGATATAAATTGTGTATAAAAAACAAAGCTCCATTCAATTAAGGACAACCTTAATATGAATGTACATACATACCATACATACTTTAAGCATATGACTCTTTCTACAAAACTATGAACCGATTGCGAAAGGATAAGAAATTGTGAGAAAAAAACAAACAAAAAACTAATGAAGAAAAAGAAACGCATTTCAGATAAAATTTCAATAAGGCATGCGTGGATGTTTTCTTGACGTTCCGGGTGTGTTCCCTGGGGTATGTTTTTCAATTAAAAGGAAAAAAAATTTAATTTGTTGTAAAAAAATAAGAGTCATATGCCTGATGTATTCATACATATACATATAAATAAAATTAACTTTTTGCCGATGAATTAATGAAATTAATAAAATAATGCTTGCAACTAAAAAACTAAATATGAAATAAATTTTTATGTTAGAAATTTCGCTGAAGATTCATTTTTGGTTTTTGATCATTTCCATTCGAATTTGGTCTCTAGCATTGATCGACAAGCGATCAAGCAAATTTTCCCTTGACAACCTTCTGGTCGTAAAATTAACGTAGAATATTTTTTTCGTTTTCTTTGTTTTTTTTTATATATATATAAAATTACATCAATTGCACTTGCACTGTGTTTTACAGCGTATATATGTATGTATGTAGCGTAGTGTTGGGCGTATAACATGTCCACACTAAATAATAATAAAAGAAACAATATACTTAAAAGCTACGAATAAAAATATTTGAATAAATGTTGAATTTTGTATGATTGATAAAAAAAAAATTAAATACATATATAAAGTGCTTACAAATTAATATTTTTGTATAAAAAAAAAATCATTGTTTCATTTAAAAATTTTTTGTTTTTTACTTTTAATTTTTGCGCTCGCGCTTCTTTCCTTTACATATATGAATGTATGTACATAGATGCATTAGTTTTCATATAAATGGCACGGAATTTGTATCAAACCGAGAGCCTGCCAGGGTTCTATTTACGTATAAAAAAGAAAAATATAAAGCACGCGCATACCAAGAAACAGAAGTTGACGTTCATACGTATGTATGTGTATATATGTCTGTATTTGCTCTTTGTTACAGAGGATCGTTACGACTTTCAATAACTATATCAAATATTGGAATGTGAATAGAAAAGGGGCATTTTGATTTTTGAAGTTTATTTTGCAAATTGTAAATTGGAAAACAATTACTCTTACAACTGCATCACTTTTGATTGCTGCTACATGATGAAAAATTCAGCGACACACATTGTACCTACATACATTTGTAAGTATGTGCTATGTATGTAAGCATACCATAATGAAGCTCGAATATTTATCAGCTCAAACAATGAATTTTAGCAATGAGAAAGTTATAGAAAATAGAGGCTTGCGATGCTATCCGAAAGCAGTTGCTCTTATGTAGAAAACGAAAAGCGATTACGTTAATGTAAAATTAAGAAGAAAAAAATGAAGCTATATACATATTATGTATGTATGTATGTACATCTAAGTTACATATTTACAGTAATAATGCGTTCGGCCTGCTTCGAAAAGTTGTGTTTAACTGCAACAACAAACCTTCGATTTTCATATGTATCCCAGCTGCATTGACATTTGGCTTGGAGCACCTCTCATAAGCTGATGAAGTCTTCTTGTTGCGCAGGCAACACTTCAAACGCCCACGACGCCGCTGTTGCTGCTGCGCTGATCGATAGCTCAACGCGCGCGCGCGCATTCCATGTACACCTTCTGCAGCGTACTTGCAAATTTGATAAGCGCGCGCCCGCCGTTCCCAGCTTTTGTACGCGCGTCCGCATTTGCTCGCTAATCACATTTCACACAGCGCACGGCGCGCGTTTTTAGCAGACGGACGCAACAATGCTGCACTATTTCTCACCTTCGCGTTGCCGCCATTAGCTCACCGCCAGTACACAGTGCAGTCCCGTCCAGTCAGGCAACAAAGCCTCGCTTTGTTATTGGTAACCCATTTAGCGCTTGCAGCACTAGAGCAGGTTTTGCAGCGCCGCCGCTCCGTTTAGCGCCAGTCCGTGATTCCAGTTGCGATAGCTGGCGGCAGCCGCATATTGCTGGTAATTATTGTACAGTTGTTGATGCTGTTGCTGTGCTACTTGCTGCAACTGCAATTGTTGTTCCTCATTCAAATCAGTTGTGATATTGGAGGCATCATCCTGCAGCTCGGGTGGCGTCAATTGACTCTGCAACAGTTGTTGCTGATGCGTGCTAAGCTTTTGCGCGCTCGCGCTCGCGCTTGCGCTGGTAGCAGCGCTGTGTTGCTGTTGTTGTTGTTGGTAGTGTTGTTGCATAGACTTAATATAGGCCTTGCGTTGTTGTTGCTGTATCAGCTGATGTGCCGCATGTGGATGCGCCAACTGCTGGTGGTGGTGATGATGAACACCGGTGTGATGATGATGATGATGATGGGGATGTTGGTCCAGGTGTGTATCGTGTGTATTCCCATTGCTGTTGCCGGCGCCGCTGGCACTGCCGCTACTGCTACCGATATTGCCGCCAATGTTGCTGTTGTGCAGCGTATTGAGACCGGCAGCTGCCGCTGCGGCTGCGGCGGCACTACCAAAGATGCTACTGCTACCACTGGCGGCGTTCACGTTCACGTTGCGCAGCATCTGGTCAGCTCGCCCTTAAGCCAATGGGTACTGGTGATGTCACAAGCTAGTCGTGCCGGTTGGCGCATGATACCCGAGACTCTGGTAGTACGAATCCTGTCCTAAGGCCGCGTGTGAATTCGTCAATGGGCTGAGCGCATTGTAGCCGGGATATTGGCTCATGTCGTACATCTTGATGTCCGCCTTGGACTCCGGCAGGAGGCGGTTGATGGAGAAGGGATGGCTGGATGGCGTATAGCCGGATGGTTCTTGCTTCAGATGATGCATGGAGGGGTGGTAGTCGCTGATCAAGGATGGATGGCATCTATTCACCATGACCGAAAGCTCTTCATGCTGCAGCTGATGATGTTGCTGATGGTGGTGGCTGGGCGCATGTTGTGCCGCCTGTTGGCCCAGGCAAAGCTCGGCATTGGCTTGCATCATGGCCAACTGGTCTCGACTAACGGCGCTGCCGAGTACACTGCCCGCGCCGCCCACCGCTGCACCCGTTATATCTTTGCTATGGTGATGCTGTTGGTGGTTTTCCAGCCGGCTGTGATGGTGGTGTAAATGGTGCGAATCTTCATGGTCTTTCTTGCCAGGACTCGTCGCTTCCAGACTACTGTGCGACGGACTCTTGTGCAGCTGTCGTAGGGCCTCCTTCTTCTCGTCCTTAAAGCGCTTTTGGCGCCGCAAATAACAACCATTCTCGAACATGTTGCCGGAATCAGGGTGCAGCGTCCAGAAGGAACCCTTGCCGGGCTTGTCTGGTGTGCGTGGTATCTTCACGAAACAATCGTTGAAGGACAACGAATGACGTATAGAGTTTTGCCAACGCTGCTGGTTCTGGCGGTAGAATGGAAACAGATCCATAATGAACTGATAGATTTCCGACAGTGTGAGCATGCGTGACGGATTATTCTGTATCGCCATTGTGATCAGCGATATGTACGAGTAGGGCGGCTTAGCGTGTGTATAACTCCGGCGGTAGGTGGTCGGTTTGTCAATACGAGCACGATTTAATGAATTCGGCGAGCCCGTGTCTAGTTCACGTGCGCTAGCTGCTGCCGCCATGGAGGAGTAGCCACCCATAGCCGTCATTGCTGACATGCCGCCGCCCATGCAATTTCCCATATTGCCCAGTGGCGAGCCCATCGATGCATAACTCATCGAGCTGGGCGTCATGCAGTTGCCAGCCATGGAGTTCATAGCGTGGGCGCCGCTCATGCTAGCCACCGCCGCAGCGGATTCGAGTGCACCAAACGCGGCGGTCTGTGGTGAAACGGAGGACATGCCACCAACGGGCATGGCCATGGAATTCATAGCTGTGTATGCGCTGCGGGCGAGCGGGCTCATTGTGCCGCCGTTGCTGGTTGGAATGTTTGAGTGAGGAATCGAAGGATTACCGCCGCCACCGCCACTTCCACCACCGCCGCCGCCACCAGCATTTGTGCCACCACCTCCGCCGCTGCTAGAACCACCACCACTACCAGCGCCGACACTGCTGCTCATGCTGACCGGAGGCCCGTTGCTCGGCGCCTCCGCGTATAGTTTTTGCATGATGTCGATCGTCGTCTGGTGGGGCGATCCCTTCAGGAAACTGTTCAATAATTGCGCCGTTATGTTGGCGGCTGTTCACTGGTCGCGCGGATGAAATAAGACGATTTCAATACACCGACGGACTTAGACGACGCGAGCACTTTGGACGCGGCGAACCAAGGTCGGCAATTTTGTGACGAAGCGTTCGAGGGAACCTACACTTGGTTGTGGGATTTGTTAAAAAAAAAAAAACAGTTTTATGCGTTGGATGTTTCAATATTTATGTTCTGCATAGTTGGGAACGCAATTCACATTTTGGTCCGCGCGCGCGCTTGCTGTGCGTACATGAAAGCCAAAGCTAAGACTCCTTGGAAAACGAACTGTTATCAGCGCGCATGCACCTTGTTGCTAGTTGTTTTTGTGTTTCTTTTTTTTTAATTCTTTGTCAGCAGCACAAAAGTTTTGTCACTTTGTAGTTTAATGCAAGATTTAAAAATCAATCGGGCGCATTCCTTTCACACACTCGTCTTCCTCGACTTCACTTGAATGCACTTTAGATTTTTTGTTGACTTTCGTCGCTGCGCGTTTCCTTTTGTTTTTTTTTTTTTGTTTGCTTCACCTCGCTCCTATTACTATTTCTATAATGAATCTATTTGTTTTTGCAATTATGCGGTGCGTCAACCCGTTAGTAAAATAAAATTCTTTCAATTGTCTTGCGTTGTACGCGGTCACCAATACGGCTTGTTATGGACACTAATGCTGTTGCCAAGATTGCGATGGTCGGTTGGCCGAAATGTTTTCGGTTTGTGCGGATAGACGTATCGACCGTCAATCGCATCAGCCGCACACTACAATTGAACAATGCATCTAGCAAATAACGACTCCTATAAAATCGGTACGGAAAATAGCCAAAGTAAACGGTTATAACTTGGCTCAGGCGTTGTTTTACTCTGCGGTTCGGTTATCGGTTGTCCGTTTCTACTTTTTCGGCAGCTGTGCGCGCTCGAGTACTCTTTGGCTTGAGCTCTTGAATATGACTGTTTGCAGAGGGGAATGCCTGCTTACTATTTGGCTTACTAACAAAAATATAAAGCGACGACGCACAGCGTCAGCAGCAGAGGCCATAGCACAAAGCGATGGACAGCAACACCGGAGCCACACCACATCGACTACCTCGCTAATACAGCCATCCGGCGCGCTACCACCATTGCGGCAGAGAGCACACCTATCAGCCATGCAGCACCATAAGCCATGCAGTCGCCTCATGTGCGTATGTATGCGGCGCTGGCTTGCAAGTGTATGCGCGTCGTGTGCTACCATCAATAATGCTAAGCGCCTCACCCTTTCCAACAAGCGCTCCCAATTGCACGTTCGTTTAAAGTTACGTGCGCGCGCGCGTGTAAGCGAGTCAACCATAGCTCGCCACTTCAAGTGGTTCTCTTGCGTACACACAACGCTGTGCAGACGCAAACACACAGAGAAGCGCGCGCGCGCTTACCAATACTAATGCAAATCGCATTTTGTATATGTGGCTGTGTGTGCAGCTCTAAATGTTCGCCATCTACTTTGCCTGCATACAGCGCACGCGTATTGGCTACGAGTTGTTGTTGCCTGCAATATAGACATTTGTTTTGCGCTTGCATTGTTGTTGTAGCGCGTCAGCTTAAAATGCAGTTTGTATCTGTGGCTTATCGGTTGCCAAGACGACGTGGGTGGAGCTATTTCGATTGGCACGCCCACAGCACTGGCGCGCTATACAAGTTGCCACCCATACTGATGCAAGTTTGCATCACACACACGCACGCACACTTTCTGCTCTTCAATTTCCAATTACGCACTCTCTGACAGTTTGACGTTTTCCATTGTAATGTATTTTAGGAAGCCGGCGGCGGCGGCGGCGGCGGCGGTTGAAGGAGTGGAAGCCGTTTCGACCCCATCAACATTAGCGCACACGAGCACTCCTTCAACGCGTACACTTACCTGGTCTAGGCGCTTAGCTGCCGCTGCTGTAGAAATATTTCGATTTATCGAATTTGCCGGCTTCTTCGTTTTATTGGACTATTTTAAGGTGCCGCCGTCGCCACTACTGCAGTCAGAGCTTTGCAGCAATCAATAATTTTGCTCTCCCAAATCGCCTGTCGCACCTTTTCGTTGCGCCACCCTGAATTTCAGCCGCTTTGCGCCTTTCGATATTCGAAGGCTTGCTTTGATTTCGATCGCCGCCGCTTTCGCCACATTTGCGCTACAAAACCGAGCGTTCTTTGACTGGCATTTTTACTATGGGCGCCTTGACAAGAACGACAAAGCCAGCGCTGCGCCGCTATTTGTTTAGTGCAGAGAGAACCACATCGCAACTAAAAACTTGGACGCACAAAGCGTCATCGAAGAGGTGGAGAGGCGACGCGCTCCACCGCCTGCCTGGCTAATAATTTTGACAGGCAACTTACAGCAGCTTTCAGACAATTTGGTACGCTGTCACAATGCCGCAAACAGCAGCAACAGCGCTCATCACAGCAGCAGCGTCAGCAACAGCAGCGCCGCAGTAATAACAACAAACAATAACGACGCATTTGATTTGAATTGAAATTTGTATGAGACATTTTTGTTGCTGCCATCGAATTCACCGCAGTCATTACAGCAGCAGCTGTTGTTGCTGTAGTATACATAGCTCAGTTTCTTTTTGCTCTTCCTCTTTTCATTGCTGTTGTTTTCACTGACGCTGCTTGTTTTATGTTTTGCTTTTTTTGTTCATTGAATTTTTAATGCAATCGCCTTGTGTTCAAATTTTCGAACTGGAATGTGCCACTTTTTGAGGTTAAGGTGGCTGGCTATACCAATGTCACATTCGATGTCATAAGAACAAACCTCTAGACGCGTACAACGCAGCAAGACACACGCGGCGCGGTTCATCGCATCTAATTTTTTTTTTTTTTTTCGTTTGGTGCATAAAAAGCTGTAAATACATTTGGAGTGCATTCGCCTGTTGTCAACAACGTTTGGTCGTTTGTCATTGCTGTGACTTCTTAGCTAATTGTCAACGATTAATGATTGCTGTTGTAGCTGTTGCTGGCTGAATATTACATACACATGTTATTGTTGTTTTCGTACTTGTTGGTGTTTGGTGTTATGTGTTGTTCTGTGTGCTGTGCTGATGCTTATCTGACGCTTGGTCGGAAAATTTCAAGTCAAGTTGTTGAGTGCCAAAGATATTCCATACATACATACATATATTGTGAAGTTTCATTACGAAAGAAAGTGGGGAAATATCGTGAAAGCAGTTTAAATCTCATTTAATTTATAACCTACATATATTCCTGAGTCGATGTATTGAAACAGAAAGTGCAAGGACGATGTTATTTGCTTTCAAATCGATGACCTCCAAATGAGACATGTGCTATTCAGTGTTGCCATTTTCAAGCTTTCGCCAGTAGAACTGACGATTTTATTTAACATTTTTGCAGAATTTTTAGCGATTATTTAGAAGCTTTTACCTAGTTTATAACAATTTATGTTTTTTTTTTTTTTTCAAAAGTTAGGGGAACAAGAAAATAACGAGAACTTTTTAAGTTAAAGTAGCAAATACACAAATATTTGGCGCTCCTATTTTGGATAAGTATTTGGTCGAACTTCCCTCAAATTTGTAGTGTGCTTATTGATGTTACAGCACAAATGTGGAGGCCTGCAATACTAGATTAGATCAATTTAAGTTTAGAGGAGAAAGCTGGTCACCTAATTACCAATACCGAAACACCCTATTACAAAAAAACCTCTACTCGAATGCAGGTCTTCTTGTATCCAAGTATTTCTAAGAAACATCGCGGGGTCTTTGGCTGTATGCAATTTAGGTCGTGTGCTTCTGGGTATGGTGATCCGAGTCTGTCCTAGTCAGGGCTTCACAGTGGCACAAATTGTGCCGTGCTAATTCCTTTTCCTCGTTGCACAACCTACACTAATCAGAGTTAGCAACTCCTATGTTTGACAAGTCTTTCATTACCCTGATAGAAACCACATGCCCGAAAATGAAGTTTTACTTGTTGACCTACAAGCGACCTGGAATATATTGTTTTCAACTTTTTACATAACTTTCCCTTGAAATATTTATACATACATACATATGTATTTGCCTTCAATTAAAAAAAAAAATCACTCAAAACAATGAATTCCAAGGGGGATATTTTATTTTGACCATAGGATTTCATTTCAGCCTACTGTGCGCCGCACATACTGCCTCACAAATAGTTTAATGGCGTGCACCTTGGCCTGAAATACAGAGTTACCTTGCCCCATGCTGGTGTAAAGGTTCCGTCTGGGTTGTATGCGGCAAACTCCTGCTCCGGCGCCATGGTCATTCTTGAAGCCGTCACTATACCAGGGGCTGGATTCTGTAACTGTGAGTTTTCAAGCGTGTGATAAAAAATTGCGTTATTTTGAGAATGAGTTTTTACTGTCAAAATTGTGTAAAATTCTGTTCCGAAAAACTCACAGAATTTTATTCGGTGAGTTTTTGGTTGTGAGTTTTGCACTCAGTGTACACTACATTTTCTCACAGTTACAGAATCCAGCCCCAGATATGCTGTCCTTCCGGGGTTTAGGCTGTTCGTTTTCCCAGTTCTAATTGCCGAGGAAAAATACTCAGAAATTTTGTGAACAGTCAAACCTCGGAAAGAATAGGTCCACAAATGCTTTTATGAGAAGCTTTTTAATGGCAGAATTGCGCTAGGAGGTTTGCTTTTGTCTGCCAGGTACGACCACTATAAACAAAATAATAACAAAAAATTAAATGTTCCTCGGACCAGGGATCAAGCCTTGGTTTCAATGTTCCATGGAGATACTCTCGCACTTCTTTCGACTTAATCATCAAATCAAATGTAACAAAAAAAAACTCCAGAAATCGTTAGCGGGGTAACCCATTCGCCTAGCATGCACTCCCATTCAGCAACATCCTGTATTGATACGGAAATGGGACGATCGGTTTGTAAAAGGGTTTTGGATCTTTTCTCATTAATATTTGGCCAGATTAGTTGAATAACAGAGCAAGTTGGTCCTTTCGCCCATCGTTCGTTGGCAGAGAAACGCGTGCATCATACGCAGAGTTTACTGAGCATAAGTTAGTCACCCCCCTCGCAATCTCGTCTGCTATTTCAGTGTGCCCGGGTATCCATACCACGTTAATGGTAATTTACGCGGCGAGCTCGTTTAAGGTACTTCTCCTTTCGGCAGCTACTTTTGAGCAAGTGTTAGTGCACTGTGGAGGTTTGAACGTTGCTTGGCTGTCTGAATATTTAGTCATGGATTTTGGAGAAGTTAATTCGGCCTGAAAAACAGTGCAGTGGTCAGGCAGCCACCTGCTAAGCTTTACCGAGAGGTCTTTAGAGTAAAGTGGGCTCGTTTTATCGGATTGAGATTTTTTATAAGCCAGAGGTGCTACGATTGATATGCAGGTTGCCTACACGAAGAGCTTAATTGAATAACTTAAGTTTTGAGAAATCAGTGGTCAAGAATGCAGAATGGTGGTAGCTGAAACACGGCGTAAAACAAGAAAACATAATGGCTGCATTTCTTTATTCATTCTGAACGTTTGGAATAAACTTGTTTGTTTACTTATTCCTTAGAACGTTTCTGACGATATGTTAACGTATATATCAAACGCATTCTGTTTATTCTGGCTGTGAAATGGGATTATCTGGGATTATCTGGAAAAAGCTTGCTTCTACACTACTTCAGAGACTGTTAGGAATTGTTTACGTTCTACGATCAACCAAGATAGACTAACCAGCCTCGGAACTTTGGTAATTGGATCAGCTCTGGCTCAAAGTTTTTTCAACTAAATTCACGTGCGAATGTGACGAAAATTTATTCCATTTACACAACAATTCTGAACATTGCCGAACATTGAGTAATCGAAAAATTTTGCAAGTTTATTAATAAAAACTGAAACAGAAACTTTAGTTACCAGTAAAAAATTGATTTTAGTTAGCAGCTTAGAGTAGAATTGTTAAAATGTTTTATTATTGTTAGTTGACAA